TTCTATAATTGTCTTAAAACCTTTGGTGGTATATTAGGTTATAAAGACTTGGAGAAAGTAGGATCTAGAACAATACCACGTTTTATTTGTAAATAGTCAAATGACTTACACAAAGGTAATGAGTTATCTTTTTTTTTTTTCAGGACCGTAGTCTTTCCATGCTTAAACACTGCTATCGATTCCAAATGCTTATAGAATTAAAACTAAATTCTCAGAACATAAGACCCTTTGCGAATGCAATCTAGTCTCTACCTACCTTTCGTCATATCTCATCACTCTCTTTCCCACCCCTCACCCACCGAATTTCTCTCTGTTCTCCCACCTTTTGCAGACAGAAGCTGAAAGTGACACATTCAAGAGATATTTAGTGTTCTCTTTCATTTAGGTCCCTTGTCCACCTTTCCCTTCCATGCCTTTCTTCACTCTCCTTTACTTTCTTCATCGAATTGTCTACCATTATGAAACACAAAAGGAATGAAAGGAAGAAGGGTGGGAAACTGCAAAACGCACACAGGTTTTATTGGGGGGAGGCATAGCTCTTGTCACTCTAGTCAGCCTAATTTGTCAAATCCTAGAGGGTAGGGCCGATTTTTTTTTTAACATCGTCCAACATCTATTAGAGATTCAGAGAGTGGTCGTTCAGTCATTAATTCTTCCCCTCTCTCTATTCTCTCCCTTGGGAAACCTGTAAAACAGAAAATCTTCCCACGGAAACTCCTCAGGGGCGCGCCAAGATCTGGGCTTGCGCACTTGGACTCGGCCGGCGCTGCAGCCCGGGCTGCAAGTCCGCGGGGTCTCCAAGCACAAACCCAGCGCGGGAGCCTAGATCTCCCGGGCGCGCGTGCGCGCCCCCCGCCTTCGGCCCCCTACCCTGCAGCAAGGGAAGTGTGACGTAATGCAACCTCAGCAGGTCAGCAGCGTTATAAAGGAGGACGAGGCTGCGCGCCTCCCAGACGCAGAGTAGCTTGTGATTGGCTCGGGCTGCGGAACCTCGGAAACCCTAACGTGAGGACCTTACGGATCCACAGCTGCCGCCCCCCGCAGCAATCCAGAGCGCGGTCATAGCCTGACTGGCGGCGGCGGCCGCAGGTAAGGAGACTCATGAGGAGGAACTAGAGGGACTTGGACCCGCCGTGCTCAGCGTCTCTTGTGTGAAGGGAGGAGAGGCTCACACCCAGCATGTAGTGTAGGGCGAAGGGAACAATGGAAGTGGCGTCTAGTCTCTAAGCTTTCCCCTCCGCCTCGGTCGGACAGTTTTTCTCCTCAGCGGCAGGCAGGGGCTGGAGGAATCGAGGGAAGTATGGGTTTCCCTTTCAGCCAATCTCCTCTTTGCTTAGGCCAGAGACCCAGGGAGCTAGCGCCGAGCCGTCGTTGAGCCGTCGGTGGTTTAGGGTGACAGGAAAATGGCGGAAAACAAAACGGCGAACTGAAGAATGCGGCGTCCCCCTGGCATTTTGTCTCAGCGACTCCCCCCCCCCCAATATTCCTTTCACTCGCGCCTCCCGCCCCTGCCTCCGCCCGCAGCTAATGGTAACCTTTGGAATGTGCGGGGGATGGCGGCGTTTGTGAGGAAGTGGCACTGAATCGGGCATTTTAGGGGCTAGGGAGCCATCAGAGCCTGGGGGGCGGGGGCAGCCTTGTGCGGCAACTGTCGCCTTCACTAAAACACCACCATTTTGGTTCCCAGCCATCTCCCTTGTAGCGGGGCAGAGGAAGCAGGAGGAGGCTTGAGGGGGTGGGTAGCAGCGGTGGCGACCGCTGCACCAAATGAGAGGGAGGAGGGGAAAGGGTATTCCTGTCTCAGTCTCTTCCTTTCCACTGCGAAGGTTCTCTCGTTCGGTATAAGATCCAGTCGGATGGGTAATATCGGAGAGGGCACGTGTGAGCGTTCTGCTCGAAATGATTGAAACTTGGCATGGTCGTGGGAAAGGGAGACTTCTGCGGGAAGAGGGCTGCGTCCAAAGCTGCAATACTGCTACTTGCCACGGCTCCTTTGTCTCCCATCTCTGCAAATACTACTTTCGCATTCTCTTGCTCTGCTGCCTTACCATTTCTCTTCTATTCGTCACCCTATTGACATCACTGAGAAGCTAGGTCCTGAATGAGCTATGCTAGAGGAGACAGATCAGAGTAAAATTTCCTTTTTGTTTTTTCTGCTCCCCGTACATTGATGAAAAGATATTTACTTGGAACCTACATGGTGAGTTACCTCCATTCAATAAGGATGTGAAATATACACTCTTAAGACGACTAAGAAGCCTACCTATCTATTGGCCTTTGAATGCTTAACACACTACAGTTTTTATACTTCATTTATTATTGATCTTATTGAAACTTCCTATATGGGAAAAGCGTTTTCCAGTTTGGTATTCAGACAGTGTAATACTTCCCGTGGTAGTTGCACTATGTGTTGTAATTTTTACACTTCACTGAGTGGTAGTGCATATTTTTTCTGTATGGATTTGCAAGAATAAAGCTTGCCCTTGGCTCTCTTTCACTTTCCAAAATATGATGTTGTTAGTGATTTTTAAAATGTGCTTTAAAGAAGATTTTGGTTTAATCAAGTGGTCAAACTCTAAGTGTAATAACATTGCTTATATTGTAGTAACTAGTTGTTTCTGTTGGAATCCTTTTGGTTGCCTTTTAGATTACCACAGATTTGAGCATATGAGCCCTTCCCAGCCTCACACCACAAATTCAAGTGTAAAGAAAAACATTCTTAAGTTGTACACAAGAGATTTGGTTTAAAATGTTTTAAAATGTCTAATTTTGAATGTATTTTTGTAATAGGTAAAGAGAACGTTTTCCCAAAGAAAATAACATAGTTCAGAAGGAAAAATAAAAAGAAATTGCTGAGATTTTACTTTGCAATACGTAAAAAAATCTACAGTTTCTTCGAGACACTGATATAAAGGTGATTAACAAATTAATGT